CCATATTTTTAGACCAGACTTCAATTTAATTAAACAAATGAAAACCTTCTCAGAGATTCTCTAATCTTGGATATTCGATATAGACAATGTTTCACTGACTTTTGACATCCTTCTTGCAACTTAGACACTTCTTGTAATTTGCCCAAATAGATACGATGATGATCCTGTAAAAAGTCCTGTTATATTTTTCGAAAATTTTTGACTTAAAAAAAATGTTTACGGTATTTAGATAAGTACCGTAAATAGTTTGCAAATTTCGAATTCCACTAAACTTAGTCTAATTATCAGTTAAATTATTTAATATTTAAGTGCACAAAGCGTATAAACAGACTAAGAATTTTCACTTCAAAATATTTTAGTTTGAAATATTAATTCTTTTTTGATCTATGCTTGGAACATTTATCCAATCATTAACCAAGCAAATTATGTCAGTAATATAATGAAAGAAGAAAATATAGAAAATTCCAAACCTCAATTTCTTCAAATTCATCTTTCAATGAACGCCATTCATCGGATATACGAACAAATGGGCTTTTCTCATCTGCCATGGCTAAAAAATTTAACATTTTGAAATTAAATTCTTTAAAGAGAAAGGTAGATAACTTATCAACTGCATAACTGAAACAAAAATTTGATCCATTTTTTATAGATTTTACTTTTTTGAAAATATTTCACTGCTCTTCCTTTACATCACATTTTCCATACTACTGGACAAAATAGAAAAGGTAGATAATTGCAAAATTCAAATTAAAATTACATTCTAATTGATAATTTATTATAGAACCGGAAATTTCTGAGTGAGAAAGAACGACAATAATAATCATAACAAACCTATAAAATTTCACGAATATTTTGCAGTAATATCAAAGCCAAGCCAGTTTTGTACTAACTAAACATACGATTGCTGAAAAACAAAATTGAGCGCCAACTAACAAACAGTATTGTAACTTTAAAATTTACGGCAAACATTAACATTATCATAAGCATAAAATCGAGAAATACATTACACTTTAAAGTGGGAGAATAAAAATCATAGGATTATACAATGGAAGAAAGCAGCAAAGAGATATCACATCATCAGAAGATAAGTGATTTTTATTTTTTAAATCAATATATTTAATAAATATTTCCTACTATGTGTGCAGAAAAAAGAAACTTCAAAAGAAATAAACTCAAAAAAAAGAAATTATTACCAATAATATAAAATTTGTAGAAATTACAAGTCTTTGCTAGGACTTGAACCTACCAAAACATCACAAAGTTGAAATTTAAGGAAGAATTTAATAGCTAATAAGAAGGATACATTTATTAATGACATTGTTACAGGATTGTTTTGTTTTAAGTTTCTTCATTTTTCATCATCTATTAGCAAAATTTCTGACTCATCTATCACGATAAACAATTTCACATAGAATTACTTCTAAATGGCAGCAAGTTACTCATAATATGTGGAGAGGGAAAGTTATGAGATTATTTGTACGTGAAGTATGACATTCATATGACAGCTATGAGATATACTTTAAAAAATATGGTAACAATCTTCGCCGTATTATTTTGGACACTCAACAAATTCATATAAGTAATAAATGAAGGAGAAATCCAAGAAATACTTCATAAAATAAATGAAAAAAATTCATAATATTTGATGCATCATTTTGATCATCAATTGGAATAATATAATACAACAAAAATACCATCACAAATATCGCCATAAAATTGTATCATCAAAAATGGTATCATTAGGAACCAATAAAGTACCATTAAAGAAATTAGGGATGGATAAATTATCCTAGACAGTAGCATAATAATTAATAACATATGCAATAATATCAAAATTAAACAACCATACGGAATATTTATAGCAGCGAGAATGACCCCATAGCGGTAGTAAACGGTGGTGATTTATAATTCCTCCATGTCGGAAATTGATTATTGCCACCTCTCCTCATTAATCAATTAATCATCGATACCTCTCTTAATTAATGAGTCATTTTCTCCACTCTTTGTTTACTCATTTTCACATTGTCTTATATAGTAGTATCAGAAGCAAATATTACTTTTGAATAATAAGTAAGAATTTACAAAAATCTTTGGAATTTAAAAAACAGATGATTAAAATTAGAAATTAAGTGATGAAAGTTAGAAGTTAAATAACGATAAGAATAAGTGGTGGAATATCTCTAATATATTCTTATATTGCATTTTATAAATGGATTTTTAGATGATCGTTTTTACACGAATAATTTATTTCAATTATATTTGAAAAAGATAATGTAATGATTAGTTTTAAAAAATGAGTAAATTTCTATCAAAATTTATCATTCATAACAAAAGAGAACTTTATTTATACCAATAAATCAATAATCTGATATAAATAGAAAAAAGGAAAAACAACAAATTACACTGACAAGAAAATTGAAAATATTTATAAAAAGTTCATCCCTAACAATTAGAAAAAAAAAGAAATAAAGAAACAAATAGTTTGAATGACACTGCCGCATTCTTACATTCTCTTTGCTTATAAACTATCTATTTGGCTTATCGATTATCTAAAAAGAAGCGCAAAAATTCCTTTCTTTTCTCTTATTAGGTATTAAAAAGAGAAAAATAGAAAAAAAAGAAATAAAAATGACTGATTGATTGATTGATTGACTGATAGAAAGAAAAATGTCAAACTGTTACAGACGTAACAGTTAACGAATTAAATTTAAAATCTTATATCTCATTACAAAAATTTCATTTTTAGAAAAGAATGAAATTTGTGAGGGCAGAGAAACAAATAAAATAAATAGAACTATTAAAGAAATTTCTGCTACTAATTAATTAAATATCAGTAAAATGATAAGAGCAAGGAGAGAAAATTCTTGATGAATGAATTCATTTTAACTGTGAAAGAGGGAAATAATCGAATGATAATTCATCAAAAAGCAGTTCAAAATAACAATATTTCTGAACTTAAAGAGGAATAGGAAGGAGAAATTTTATCCTCGAAGATACCAAAAAAAAAAAGACAAAACAGGAACTGAAATTTAAATCAACACTGGTGAATCTCATAATCAGGTCAAATTTTGAAAATTATTCACTTGTCTTTTAAAATTGATGAACGAAACAATAAAAAATCCAAGAACAGCAGCTTTTTTTCCGGTTAAAATTACCGATAAAAGAAAAAAAAAATCTGAAAAATGCTTTTCGTTTTCGGAAAATCCAACAAATTCGTGAAAAATTTTAGTTTTTCAAGAATTCTCGAAATTCCTCTTTATGCCGAAAGAAAAATGGCTTGTACTGATTTCTAGCAAACGGAATTGGTAAGGAAGAAATTGGCAAATCAGAAAATTTTATAGAATTTCAACATGAAATATACACAAATCACATTCTAATACACTATGAAATATATATATTATGCCAAAGTAGTTATTAGATTATAATAACACGAATAATAAGTAGTAAATAAATAATAATAATAATTAGTAATGATCAAAAAAATAATAAACAAGAAAAACTATAACACCTAGCAGAGTTATCCAAAAATAATTTCAAGATTAAGAGAAAATGAGTACATAAGAATGAAAAACAACAGTTGATGGCAAGCCAGAATGATTACACTGTTTACAACTACTGAAGCAATGCTAAGATAAAAGAAAGTCAAATATCAAATTACTGCACAAGGATAAATCTCCCAAACACAGTTACAACCGGTCCGTAAGTCCACACCTCATAATCCGTTCCGAAGTATTTACATTTTGGCAGATATACAATTAATCACTTCAAGGAAATTTACTGCATTTCATCCTAGTCAGCAATTTCATATGTTATTTCGAAGTTGAAAAAATTGTGCAAATGGAAAACTAGAAAAAGAAAACCAAGAAAAATATTCCAAATTTTAAAGTTGACTTACTGAAGAAAGTTATTAGGGCTTCTGCACCTTATATACATAATTTTTTCAATCATATAAACAAAAAAAAAAAGAAAAAAAACAAAGTTTCAAATGAAATTTAACGAAACAAATGAATTTAGCTGGAATGATAGATCCAACAATAACTGAGGTTCAAATGAAAATAATACAATTTTGTCCATGAAAAAAAAAGAACAATTACTGCTGGGCATAAAGCAAGCAGAAAGAATAAAAGTTAAATGAATATCAAATGGTTCAAAATTTCAACAAAATAAGACATTTTACTTCTTTTACAGAAGAATAAATAAGGAAAAAAAATAAAAGACAAATTAAATGAATGAGATGTGAAACTTTCATCCATCGAAAATGAATAATTGTAAGTTTGTGAGCAAAACAAAATGTCTCGAGAAAAAGAATGGAAAAACTGTTTGGTTCGTTAAAGTGCAAATTTAATTCATCAGTTGCAAATTGTTTTGAATTAAAAAAAAAAAAAAACATGTATTCAAAGCCAAATTTAATTCCTGAACGAAGAAACATTGTGTTAGGAAGAATAAAAGCTTAAATTTTGCAAATCCATGTTATATGAAAGCCGAGAGTAGGTCATAAAAAATGAAATAAAAATAAGCTTAAAAATTTATATGAACAAGTAATAATAATGCATATAAGACATATTTATTTACGTTAGTAACAATTTTTTGAAACTCTCATGTACAATTCCGATCGTCTTCCACATCGATAAATATCTTAGGCTTGATAAGAAAGGAAAGTCAAAAATGCTGTAAACATTTTTGAAGAGAACTGTGATAAAATTATTGACAGACATGTAAATTAAGCATTTCCTAAAGAAATACAATTTTGAAAATAAATGAAAATACCTTGTGAAATAAGAAATCAAGTAGTATATAGAGTTAAAGTTACATAAAGTACAGGATTTGGAAATACTTTATATTTTCTTCTACCAGAAATTTAACCTTTTAAATCAATATTTTAATAGCTAATTTTTAAAATATCAATTTGAAAAATCAACAAATTGAGATAATAAAACAGCGTACCATACTTAAAACAATCAATTCAATTCACTTAAATTATAATCTAAGTTAAAATCATCTCAAATAGCAGTTTCACGCTCGAATGTAGGTAAGAAACTCATCTTTCCAATGTGGCGTTCCGAAATTGAATTTATTTCTTTGTGTTTTTCAACAATTTCACTAGAACATGTAAAACCATCGTAACCATTAGTTGGCTGCAAAAAAAGAAAAGAACGAAACAATAATAAGTATATAAGATGAAATCAGAAAACAAAAAAAATTAAAGGATCTATTGCAAAAACATTAGCACAGGACAGAACGCAAACAAACAAGCATACGTCACACATACATGCACATATATATGCACACATACACACACATACATATAAACATAAGCAATCCAAGCTAACATATACATACATATATACACCACATAACATACACAAGTTCCAAGCTACCCAATCATTTTATATTCTTTCGTTTCCTTAAATGAGGCAAATATTATTCAAAATATTCACATTTAATGTTTCTCTGTTATATTATAATATGTATGAAAGTACTACTTCATTATTACAATAACTTAAATATTTAAAATAATTTGGAAATAAAATGTACCTCTTTCTGTGGCGGTAAAATGAGCCGTCTAGCCTCAGGGATTTGCAATGGATAATACTCAGCACGATGAATAGCTAATGCTGGACCCCATTCATTCTCTGGACAAAACAGATCCAACCATCGCTGTATAAATGTTCCCTTCGTTGAACAAAATTTCACTACCGCTGTTACTGGAATAGCAATCAAAGGTGCTAGCGAAATACCCCAACCAATACGTTCTGCATACATCGGATATTTGTATTTTTCATATTCTATAGGTTTGTAAGCAAACCAAGCTAACGATAGCAGTGCCTACAACAAATGATTAATGTAAATCCTCGTTCATTTTTTTCAGAAGTACTTTAATTTATAGATTTGTGAATGTTTTTGTAAAATGTTTCGTCGTTCTTTCGTCGTGCACTTATAATTTCCAAAAAAAAAAAGAAACTTACAAGATATATAAATGGGCAAACAAATTTCCATAAAATTTTCCATACAATATATGGTGGTGGATAAAAACCAATCATCCATTTAACGTTATCCAAAAAATTATCAACTCCTGCAAAAAGGCTAAAGATCTCTATTAACAAAAAAAAAAAAAAAAAGTCAAACAATTGAAAAAATGAAAGAATACTTAGTTTTACACATACAATTTTCGAATCGATGAAAATAACATAAATGTAAATAGTAATTTTCTTTCATCTCTTCTTCGCCGCTGAACTTCACATTATTTATTGCATAGACTTATTCAGTCTGAATTTGTTCTGATATTTTATAGTTTAAGCGTCAATCGAAAAGAAACAAGTAAAACGATTTCCTATCAAATCACGAAGGAGATACAAATATATGTAAAATTGGAATTAAAATGAGGAAAGAAAGGAAGGACCGTATGCCCACGAAATAGCCATACATTCCAGAAATGCTAATAAGACTAATGTCCAGGTCGTTGTAAAATAATCCAACAGCAACAACCAGTAAAAACCAGCCTAAACGATCACATTTAGGTTCAGCTTTAACTTCAAGCTAGATTCAAAGATAAAACATTATTTACTTTGAAGAAGAATGCCTGTGCAGCAAAAAAAAAAAAAAATATTCTGAACTTCAAAGAAAAAAAAAATTGAAAAAAGTCCTTACAGCAGCGCAGAGAGGTATACCAAGTGCGTAAAATATGACACATGAAAAGGCTAAAACATGCCGATGATTACGTCGCAAACGTTCGGGAAATTCATCACAAATCGCTGACACGATCGTTTCCATTGTTATATTCTAAATTTATTTTTGCATTTTATTGTAATTAAAGTACTAATTAATGTCATGCAACTGTTATATTTTGGTGAAAAATAATTTTAAAAAGCTTGCCATTGTTGTTAGAATTACTGCCATAATCATTGCAAAATATAATATAGAATAAATTGGTGCAACTGGCAACTTTGCAATTGCTTCCGGCAGATAAACAAATATAAGTTGCGCGCCACCTGCAATTTTTAAAAATCCAGTTATGTTCTAGATACTCTAAGCTAGTAAGATGAGAGAGAAGTTTTCAAAAAGAAATAAGTAGATTAATAGGATGAAAGACTATCGAAGATTTTTACAAATCGAATAAATTTTTAAACAATAAACAACCTTTGAAACTGAATCTCTCAATCGGAAGTTCCAGTTCATAACATAAAAACCCAACAGCTGATGATGCTAATGCTCCGCAGAACAATGATGTTATAATATCGACAATGCACAAAATCCAAGCATCTCTACAAACAATGGATTATTTACACGATAAATATGTATAACCAGCATTTACGCGAACCAAATCAACAAGAAAATTAATGAGTTAACATTACAACACATATACTTATGCATATCTGTGAAAAAAAAATTTTGATTGATATCAATCAAATTTTTTCAAAGAGCAGTAAGTATGCAAAGATATTCTGAATCTAACACGTAATGTCAAAATCTTAGTTTGAAAATACAAAACTCACTTTAAAATGTTGTTATGAAATCTGCTATAACTCGCAAGTGTCACCAAACCACCAGTGCAACATAACAGGGAATAAAATACCTGCCCAGCTGCTGTACCCCATACCTGGTTAAGAAAGTAACAAAAATTTAAAAGAACAGAAAAAAAGGTTCATTACATCAGCTTTAAGTCTACTTCAAATTTGGTAGTGTGCATTTGGGAGCATGCAAAATTTTTCCAGAAAAAATCGAAATTAAATATTAAAAAGCCGCAATAAATATTCACCGTCAAATCAGCTAAGAATTTCCATGTTGGTGTATAAAAATAAATGAGACCACTGATAGAACCCGGTAACGTCAAAAAACGAACGAATAAAACGAACAGTACCATATATGATGCTATAACGATAACATAAACAGCCTGAAATATTTTGATTTTTTTTTCGGATAACTAATTAAATATTGTGTTCGTGAATAGATCCTCGAATATCAAGATCATTAATTTGCTCACGCTGACATGTGAAATGAGCTATAGTAAATCAAATTTCAAAATTTGCAAATTATTTTCCAATACTTTGGAAATACACTTGTAAAAAGGGTATTAGGCAGTATAAAATACTTAATATTATACATCTAATCCAAGTGACTACCACAAAATTATGTTCAAAAAGTACACAGCATCGCATGTGAGAAATATATGATTTCGATCTCTAAGTTTGATATAAGATAAAAACATAAACACAATGAGAATGTTCCAATCCTACTGATGATAAATCACATGATAGAGACATCTCATCACCTTTCCGGACGATTTCACTCCTTTGAAAGCAGATAAGAAAACGATAAACCAAGCTATTAATAAATAGAGTGCGAGATGCCAATTAATGGGACTAACTTTATCGAAACGATCTGACATCAACAACACTTCATTACTGTAACACCGATTAATTAATTATAGGACGGAAAATAACTTGAAAAAGAAAGAAAAAGTATTTATTTCTACGATACAGCAAGATAGTTTGATCGCTTAAAAAATTGGTCCTTTTTTTCGAAATCTTGGTTTAAATCCAGAGAGTTGAATTACACTTTCGAAATGAATGGAAGTTGAAATTTTTTCTAAAAACTTGATTTTAAAATAAATTTAGATAAACTCGTTAGAAAATGTCATTTTGCTTTCAAACCGTGTAGTGTTCAAATTTTAATATTAACTTAAATGATCATCTAGGAGATGAGCATTGAGGTTAATGTTATTTCTGAACAGTACCAGGGCAATTAATACGAGTCAGCTGACATATATGTGAACAAAATCTTACTGTAAGTACTCTGCACTTGGTAATACATGTTCATCGATATCAAATGATGAAATTTCCAAAATCGATGAATTACCACTCAAATACTCCTTATCAATAACGCAGGAACCATTACGAAGTAACGTACCGTTCTGCAAAAAGCAACTGGCAACACTGTCCCGATTCCAAACTGAGCATTCTGAAAGTGAAAAAAAGAAGCGAAAAAAGGGGGAAAAATACACCATCGGAGATTTTATATTTTGAACTGTAAGAATACTGACAGTATATCAAAAATAATTTCGATGACGACATGATATAGTAACAAGATGTACAGGAATGGCGCCGCTATCATATCGATATTCATGTTTAGCTGCATAAGAATACTTGAAACTACTATGGTGCACAACAATAGTGCACCATAATAGCAATGACTATTTATTACAATCATTTATAAAAATCATCGAATATCTTACTCATCGAATTCCAGTCATTACTGCATGTGGCCCATGGTAAAGCAAATTTGAACGAATTGATAAAATAAGATATTGTCCATGCAGCAACGGCACTATAATATACACATACAATACATGATACCATGAACATTGCAATACCAATACCTGAAAAACAATTCATGAAATTCATAGCTATGTTTATTGCGAGTAAAATGAAAGATGAGAAGGAAAAAAATTCGTTACCACAAAATTTTAACTACAAGCTCAATTATAAACACATTTGATTACTAGATTAAATAATGACCAGAAAACTAATATAGAAAAACGTAAATTTTAATTATAAGAATAAATGTAAATTAAATAATGACCAGACATCAAAAAATTGATTACACAACATTCTTACAAATTTATCAGGTTAGAAAAGATGACCGAGACTTTCCCCAACACCGACTGTCATAAAGCAAGGAACTCAAAAAACCTTATTTCATAAATGTAAACCAACCTTTAAATAATGGAACAACTTTCCATACCGAAAGGCATCCCACGCTTGGAAACTGGCCTAATGCAAGTTCCATCAACAAAAGAGGCACACCCGCAATTAACATTAGGACAATGTAGCAAAAACAAAATGATCCACCACCACTTATTCGGCAATAATATGGAAACCTGGAAACTGATGTTTGCAAAGAGAATTTTTCGAATCATAAATAACACTGAAAAATGCTGAATTAAATGGAAAGAAAAAAAGATACCTCCATAAATTTCCCAAATTAAATATAAAACCAACAGCCGAAAGGAGGTAATCCATCCTCGAGGACCAATTACCACGAATTTTATTCTCATCACCGATATCATCAATATCTTCAAAGGGAAATTCGATATCACCTTCGGGGATGTAATCTGGTATATTCAATTCTAACTAAAACAATGACAGTTTTGTTCTTCCTTTTTCAAACTTCGAAATTGAAATTTCAAGAAAATAAAATGATTACAGTCCTAATTAAAGCTCCAATTAAATATTAAAAAAATGGATTTCACGTTTTTTAAAACTAACGAAAAAAGAAACGAAATTTTAATTTTCTTAAAAAAATTTAATTGCATATAAGTCAAAAATAAATATGAATAATTTGATTTACCTTGCGACAAAATGGTGGATAGATTGAATTAGCATCCCGATAGGATCTTTTGTATGTTTCTATTCCTTCACTGACCGGTCGATTCTGAGAATTGCGGCGATTAGAGGAACGATTATTACTACCAGACCATCTCACATCGCTTTGGCTGGTAATCGACATTCGTCTCGCAGTTAGCTAACTACAATACGGCATTTTAATTATCAATGAAATTTTCTATATCAGTTTTTAGAGCGATAAATGCAATACTGATCGTGCTTTAATTTCAAATATTAAAAAGACTAATTTTCCACGAAGCCAAGAAACATTCACTCTTTTACAACTCTTTAATACGCGACATTTTGTGTTTCATTTACGTCATCAAAGTAACATTCTACTCCTTTTAATACTTCACGTAAATCAATACTACGGTTACTCCTATGATATATTGATATGAGGATTATGAATCAATCAATAAATAAGTAGGAATTTTCAGTACAGAAGTTTTAAATGGTTGTTATCAGTAAAAAGAAAGAAGGAGAGAAAAACGAAATGTGATGACCTTTTGTTTTTGTGATAATTTCTAATCATTGTTTAAATCAATCAGTTAATGAGAGGGTAGGATCGAAACAATGGATCATTAGTGGTATGTCAACAACAGCCAAGGCCATCCCTCAAACAACTTACACTTAAAATAATGAAAGAAAGTTTATCATAATTAGTCTAATTATGATAAATTAGGCTATCACGTTCTCAAATTATGTCATGAAAGAGGTCGTACAAATAATAATTATCCTTTCTCCATATTCTTATCCTTAAAAGCGAAATATCTGACTTATAATCAAAACAGATAGTTAATATCATTCGATGTTTTCAGTTATTATTTTCTTTTAAAAAAAAAGGAAGAAAGAAAGATTAGGAAAAATTGAAAATATACAATTAGAGTGAACTCTTAAATTATATTTCGTTTATCTAAAATCATCGAAAATCAAATCTCTCTTAAATGGATAAGATAATGAAAAACAAAATAATAAAATAATGAAAAAAACAAATGTGCCAAATAAATATATCGAATTTAAAAATTATTTGACTCAGCTATTTTTGTAACTTTGCAATTCCAAATTTTATTTCATCAAACCTCTTGCAGTACGTTCTCCTACTCAAAATTTTGAAGAAATGAAAATAAAAGATAAGAAGAGTTCTAAAATTTGCTATAATTTTCATAAAAAGCTCCTTTCATCCTAAAATTAAAATTAGCAACAAAATTGAAATGAGAACAAGTCACAAGAAAAGTGAAGATCTTACTAAAGTACGCCCAATAAAATCCCTGAAAGACCATTAAACTGCTAATGAATATCTATTTAATATTTTTTTCTCCTTCCTTTTCCCAATATGACCCAAATAAAATTGAATTTGAAATTTAATAAAAATATTATTGCATCGCTACACATAAGAATATAAAATATCGTTATCCTAATCAATATTCCTTCTGTCTCCCCTATTACCATTATACTTGATTTGCCGTGTGACAAATGATAACTGTTGATAAGATCAAAATACAAAACCGTAAGATATTAAAGCATCAAAAATAATAAACTGACACTTTCATATCATGCACATAGCAAAATTTGTAGATAAAAAGGCAAATCACAGTTGTCTCAAAACATCCGACTAATACACCACACATCTAATCAACCTTGCATCAGTGGATGTGTGTGTGTGTGTGTGTGTGCGGGTCTGCACGGGGGTGTCGACGGCTGTGTTTCGAGACAGGCTGGCTAATCCATTTAACTGTCCACCAAACGAATAGCAGCTGTTCTACACTCAGAGTGATGGTTGAAAGAGATTTAACGTTTCTGTATCACCGATATTTCATTACACGCACATACATAGACAAACAGACGGATACACAAGAAATCCAGAATCGGATTAGTAAAACCATGGATTTTTAATAATTAAAAATTTCATCTTACAAACGTTTCAAGGTGAAAAAAGTGCTAATCATATTAATATAAGATGTATGATAGAAGAGATTAACTGAAAAATTATTATTATTATTGATAAACAAGATGATATGAAGAGATCATGATATGTGGATGCAGCTAAACAAGGTATCAAGTCACTGTTTGAGATATTCTAGACTATGGTGATACGAGGAATGTTCGTAACTAGGAATGAATAAAAAAGAGTATACTCAACAAAAATTTGCTTAAATTTTGTTTTTTCTTAATAATTTCTTTTAAATTAATAAATTCTTTTTTTTTACTTAAACTTTTCGAGTGTGACATATATAAATACGTACATAATACAGAACTTATATTATTCTTTGATAATAATGAGTCTAAAAAAGTCTAAAACCTGAAATCAAATATCGAATAATAATATAAGCTAATAGCAAACAGAATCCGTAGCTAATAGCCAGTTATTATGATTTAGCAAAGTAAGATATGATAAGTTTAATAACAAATTTTAAGGTAAACAAACGATGGTAGTTATATTACAACAGTGTAAGCAGAATATATTTCCAATATTCCCACAGAGAGACTGTAAATTAGGACACATTCCAGACAAAAACCTCAACCGAAGTAAAAAGTCCCACCACAGCTTTCCTTCCGGAATTTCTGAAGAAAGTTATTTCTGTTAACTGTAAAATAACAGAGAGAAAGTACTCGAATTTAACGGGCTGCGTAATTTTTGTGGATTAGCCGTTTTACGGGTATTTCCAGTTTTGCTCTCTTTTGTTTTATTCGTTGTTTTGTTGCATTTTTCATTTTATGTCATTTTCCCTTTTGTTCACTTTGGTAAAACTTAAAATTTCCTTACTTTTCAGGCAATGATAATCCTGGAACAGAACAATCGAATTATTACGGAAGTATTGGATTTTAAATTCTCTATGGCTAAACAAGGGTAAGAGCTTGTGTTATAAATTTGGAATCATTCAGTTTGTTTTTTTATTTCATTTATTTCTCCATCTTGTCTGCTTTGTTGTTTTGCTTCTTGAAATTATTTTCTCTTTATCTCTTTATTTGAATCATCACTGATCATTCTAACATGTTTATTTTCCTTATTTTCTTATTTTATTTAGTACTCATCCCTTTTTTCTTACTTTCTTGTTTTGTTCAATAGTATTTTTATACGTTTTTTTCTTCTTTATTTACTTTTGACTCGTTTGTTAATGCCCACATGTGATTACGTGACATTTGCTTTGTCAGTGGTGAAATTCTTTCAAGAAAGCCGTGTTTTTTTTTTTTTGGATTTGAAGTTTCTGAGTTTTCTTATTTCGTCTCGCTACGAAAGAAAAGTTTTCATCGTCATTTTATGCATATACTTTTACCTCGAATAAGATGCTTTTTAGACATATCAAGATATTCTAAGTAACTTTTAGGCGGCATTGTCGTTTTTTGTTCTGTTTTATTTTCAGCTCCAGATAATCAAGTTGAATGATAGTAAGTGAAGTGTCTTCATGATGTTTATTTATCATTTATTGTGCAGATAAGAAATTTTCGTATTACGCGTCCTATTTTAGGAATAAATTGGAAAAAGTTGATGTGAGATTTGCTGATTTCGATGGCGTCGTTTACCACATATCAAATCCTGATGGTGACCGTGCGATAATTATGGTTTGTTTTTCAGTTTTCATAAAAATTTAAATGCGGTCTTAAAGTCCAGAAGAAGGGTATTAATTTATAATCACATAATATTCTTTTTCTAGTTATCTTTTATGTCTTATAGGAATTCTGATTTTTTTGAGCTTAAGTTTGCTTTTTTTCAGCTTAGCATATCATTGAAATTTTACAAAGAGCTTCAAGAACATGGAGCTGACGAAGTAAACTTTTTTTTATTTTCATTACTCTTTCTGTAGTGTTGCTGAATTTCTTTTAGATGTTTATGAGTTATGGTATTTTAAGATAATTTGATGCGATTTTGAAATTGAGCATGTGTATTATGTGAATTCGGGAAGTTTCGGAATAAAGAGTGATACCATTTATAAGTAAGTATTGTTTTCTGTAAATGAGGCGCTGATTAATTGTTATCATAGTGTTTGTTGTATTTTAGTTATTGCGCCGTGAATATGGTAAATATCTGTGTACAACACCGGAATCTAATTATAATGTTTCACTAACCTACAATCTAAACGAATTGCCCAATGATTATTCGACGATTGTTAACCAAGCTTCACATTTAAAACGAAATTGTTTTGCATCTGTTTTCGAAAAATATTTCAATTTCCAATCACAAGGTCAAACTGGAGCAAAAAGAGCTATAATTCATTACCGAGATGACGAGACTTTGTAATTTCTTGAATATTTCTGGAAATCAGATCGTAGCTATTATATTTCATCGTTTGAGATATTATTGGAAATGAGGAGTTTGAGTGGATTCAAGTGATCAAATGGTTGCTATGAAACGTGGAGTGATCTATGATATTTTTATTCAATTTCTGACCAACACTATGTTAGAATTGGAAAAGTCAGTAATTTCAGATATGTAGAAACAAAAGCCGATCGAGTTACTGTTATATTTAGTACAATTTTCCGTGATCCGGATGATGTCGTCATTGGAAAATTATTTTTGCAAGTTTGCTTTCATGTCTTATTTGTGTTTTTCTAGCTTCCATTTGTATTGCACTAATATACTTAGGCTAAATCTTCGAAATAATTTTTGCTAAAACATTTAATGATATGAAGAAACATTGAAATATTTGCGGATTAGCAAGAGGAATTTTCTGAATAACAAGTCAGAGAAGGAGAACAATGAAAAATGTTGTGAATTTGAGTAGGCTTTTATATCATAGTACCATCGAGGGAGAAATCATATCTGTCAAACACCAAATAGTTTTTAAAATAAATTAAAAAAAAGTTTGTCTTTGAAGGAATTCCGAGAAGGAAGAAAAGCATCACAAACGTCACCTGCAGTACTCTATACAGTGGGTGAGCCACCACTTGAACTACGCGACTGTCCCGATGCACGTATTGGAGATAATGTTGGTTATATTACGTTCGGTAAGTGAAAATGTGTGCACTTTTGCACATGTGTATATAAAGATATGTACAGTGAAAATAAATAATTTTCATTTGTCATTAAAGAGCAGCAAAGAGGACAGAGAGAAATCATATCTTGTCTATTGATTCTTACATTGTTATGTCAGCTGTTCAAGTTTTATTATTCAACTGAAAGTCATGCTAAGCATATGTAACTTTTAGTGTTATTTCCACGGCATACGAATGTACAAGCACGTGATAATACAATCAATTTGATACATACATTTCGTGATTACCTTCATTATCACATAAAATGTTCGAAGGTTAGTAAATGAAATAAATGAACTAAATTTGAAGAATTTTTTTGTGTAGAATAGATTATTTCTACAATATTTTGTTGAAAATCTTTTTAAAATTCACTGTCTTATTCTGGGCACTATGCAGCACAACTTTAAGCGAAGGGGAACTTTTGGAAATGTTTCTGAAAAGTGCTGTTTTAGGTGACTTTGCTTTTATATTCATAGAAATAGCATGAGGTATGGAGCGAGCTTTTCCAAAGAAAACGGGACTTTTAAAGTTGGAAAGTTATTTCTTTGTTACAGGCATATATGCATTCAAGGATGCGTGCTAGGACGAATGACTTCCTGAAAATTTTAAATAGAGCACGACCAGAAGGACGTGTAGAGAAAAAAACATTCTCGTACGTATTTGATTTTTCGTTTTTTTTTTCAAAATTAATATCAAACGAGGAAAGCATGGGCTAGATACCGTTGAAAAAATATGAGTTAGATTGATAGACAAATTGAGTCTAACACAGTATTTAAAGCGAAAAGTTTACTTTTGTCTTCGTTTGTTTGAACTAATTAAGCCGTAAATTTTTAAATGGAACATAATTCAACGATCAGTTCAAAAAGAAAAATATTTCAGAGGGCGCAGCTTCCAGCCAGTGTAGAAGATACATTTCGTTTTGATCAACCTATTTATCATTGTCTTGATGTGATTGTAAAATGTTTTGGTCCCTTTAATGGCAGCACATTACATTATAGAGGGTTTAATTAATCTTTAAAATCTGTTATCATTATGTTTCGTTCGGGTAACATTATAAATGGTCCGAAGTCACCAGTTTTCTTTACCAAAATATTGAACGCAGATTTTGTAAAATATGGAGGAAGATGATGAAGTATCTATTTAATTAAGATTTATAAATTGTAATTTTGATTTGTTTCCAACAATGACACCGAAGTACTGTGAAATCAAATTCTCATTCCAATGCCAAGAATAATCAATGTCTGAAAATGCTATAAATACGGTAGGACAGGAACAATTTCCGTAATGATTGAAATTGGTGACATTCTTCCTGAAATAGCTGAACGAAAATTCTTCTAATAATATTCTCTAGAAGAAATTTAGAATTGCTAATCCAAAAAAAAGAATAAAATTAGTTTTGCAGAGATAAAGAAGTGATGTATATGTTATACTTCGATAGATAAAACCTAAAATCTGTTCACTTGACTACTGGTACTCTGTCTGAACGAAATGTCACAATTTCTCTTACTGTCCCATTCTCTTATTAATAGTTAAGATCTCGTTAATACTGCAATTAAACTGACGGGTGCGATACGTGTACGTGTAATGTATAAATAGTAGTAATCAAATTGCAGCACGTAACATCCCACCAAGAAAATCCCTTGAATTTGCGTGCTCATCAACACTGCAAGTGCAAGCAAGTGCATCATCATCAGGTAAAGTGCACTACCATCACGTACGTCATCTGTCTGAACTCTCACCGTCTGTTTTATGTAACGAATAGCTCGTGCAGATATGTATGAACCCATCTGTATCTTTGTCTGTGTCTGTATCTATGTCTATGTCTGCATACGTTTGTACGTGTGTGTGTGTGTGTATGTCAGTGTGTGTCTATCTGTGTATGTCCATCTTTGCACCTATTGATGGGATGCCGCTATCGCGGGATGCCGCTATGGAGAAAGCGTTGCTAAGCAACGTGCATTCTGATTGGTTCTTATATCATAGAGGCATCTGTTGTTAGCGCCTTAGCCGACACAAATGCATACGAGATTAGTTGGAGGGCTGTCGTGGTGGAGGGGAGAGTATGTATATATATATGTATGTGTGTATGTCTACGTGTCTGTCTGTTTGTAATGTTATCAGTTAATGGTTATCATTTAAATTCCATAAGTGCTAAAATTTCAGCATATCCGCGTTATGTTACGTAATATTAGGCCATTCAGATCGTCTATGCAAATTTTGGTTATTTAGCTTATTCGAGAGTTAACTGTTGTTATTAAGTATCATTCGTTCTTCACCTGAAATCATTTCATTCAGGCAAATGTAGTTAAAGAAGGACAAGGAAAAGTTAGTGAGCAGAAAAATTATGCAAATTTCACTTCCCAGGTTTATTTTCCATGTTTCTTGGCTAATTGCAGTGGTATTGTGATAGTGAGTGTCACTCTCACTGCATGTGCAATGCATAATTAATCATCTTTCTTGCAGTTTCTACAGTGATATAACCGTTGTGGGTAGAGTTAGTTGGTTAAACATAGATATTTACCCATCCATTCACTCACCCAGTTGCATTCCTCAATTGCCAAGAATGCATCATTCAGTGAAGACCATTTGAAAGGTCAATTATGGCATGTTTTAGGCGGGAGGGCGGGAAAGTTCTTTTCGTTTTTAATTTTTTTGTAGCAAATTTTAGAATAAAAGAGTGCATAAGGAAATTAGTGTGGTGAATCCTGGAAAAAATTGAGTTGTATTAAGACGGTGTCGTAATAGATGAAAAGTGGAAATGATTTTCATTTTAAAACTTATTCTAGTTTTTCTTTTGTTCTATTCCATGCTGATGTTAACTAATTCGGATTATCGCAAAGTGTTGCTGTTAAAATTTTTTATCAGTTCTTCATTTTAAATTTTCAGGCCTTCATAATTTTTTTCGCAACAAAAGATAGTTTTGGTAGTGCAGAAGACAACAAAAAGAAATGACCGACAGGAAAGCAGTGATCAAAAATGCTGACATGTCAGAAGATATGCAGCAAGATGCTATTGATTGTGCAACACAGGCTTTAGAGAAGTTCATTTCTTTTACCAATATGCTGCGTTAATATACTTATTTCTTTTCTAAAAATGATAAATCCGATTGGGTGATCAAATCAAATGTTGAAGGTTCTCATTAGAAGAAGGACGTTCAACTTAGCCGGAAGTCTTTATTGCGGTTTAGATTTAATTCCCTTTTATCTTCACAATTCTCATCACGGAAGAATTTTGAAGATAAACGTTTTAAAATATTCTTATTCGTAGCTAACTGATACAAAAATACTCAATAGCTCATCCACCTCTTTGAATTTAGAAAAGAACTTCCTAATGCTCTCAGAAGGACAAGTATCTTTAAATTGCGGTATTAAAGTGTGATAAAAAGTATATACCTTAAATTATTTTCATGAAACATTGGTTGTTGGTAGTATTAGGTATGTACGAAGTACCGTCTTGAAATCCTTTTTACTCATTTGTATTACATGTATATGTTACATGACATAGTCTTTTCTTTCATTGTTTATGGTTTTTTCTTTTTAGATATAATATCGAGAAAGATATAGCAGCGTATATAAAGAAAGAATTTGACAAGAAATACAACCCAACATGGCACTGTATTGTTGGTCGAAATTTCGGGTCATACGTTACACACGAAACAAAACACTTCATCTACTTTTATTTGGGCCAAGTAGCAATACTTTTGTTTAAGAGTGGCTGATTTTCTTCTTGGTCTATATTTCTCTTTTTCTTCCAAATGTTACGATTTTCATTATTTAAATTAGTTTTGATCTGGTCTTATGTACATTTTTGGTATTAATGATAACGGCGATAATGAAATGGACTGAAATACACCGCTTCCATGAATGTTTTCTTTTTTTTTTTCCTTTTTTTCAAAGAAGTGTGGAAGTTGTATTTGGTTTCTTTTACTGAATTTCCAGCATTTACAAAAATTTTCTGGATTTTCTACATTTCTTGCTACTTTGAATCATTAGAAAAAGCGAAAAATAATTACAGAAACTCATGTTATGCAGGGTTAGTGCCTTAATTATTCTCTTTGGATACAACGCGCAAACACACATATATGCACACACAAAAAGAATCTCATTGCATGTGATTTTTTATTTGTTTTTTTCCAATCGCATTAGTCGATAAAATACCCTTTGAGTGTTCTCCGCCAAACACGAAAATATTAAGCAGGATTTCCGGTTTCCCATTTGCAAACTGTGCCGATAATGCGATGAATTATTGCAGTACTTTTCTATCTGAATGCAAGGAAATTCGAACAGCACTAAGAACGTTAGTGCAATTATCATATTCCATGTTCACAAAATACATCCTATTGGGATGTTTGATTATCTCTAAAGTACTCTTGAAAATTCCAAGTTGGGTATCTGTTGCCATCCGTTTCTTTTTCCTGTAATGCCATCGAAAATTCATTCTCTTCATGCTATGCATCCGAACGCTTCCCCATACTGTTAGACAATCGACTTCGAGAAATTTTTAGTAATACAGCGCCATATTTAGATGGATGTACAATCATCTCAAATTTCGGAAATCAACCGAATTGCATTTCCAAATTTAAGAAAAAAATTAAGGGTGTAATAAAAGCAAAAGAATCTTCTTATAATTTCACATGAGGAATCAAGAGAGGGTGAAAGTGACGAGTTCTTCTACTTGTTAAATTTCATAACATGCTTTTTCATCGGAGTGACTACAGCTATATGGTCAGAGCATCATTTAGTAATGTTTTGAAGTGAATGAGAACATTTGCGTCAGAATAGTTGCATCCTGTAGTTAATCAACTTGTCAAACACACTTAGCATTTGTCAACATCCGTTGGATTTGCTCCATAATCATCAATATCACATCATACCTGTGAATGTCATTCTCCAATGTGCATAAATAGATGTTCAAAACGGTGAAGTTGCACTATAGAATGTCACATAAAAATTTGAAACTTTAGTACGTTATGAATAAAAAAGGAGATGATATCGTGTAAATACTGCATGTTCTGCAAATGCGCAAGATTATGCAATATGTGAACAATAAGGTTACATCAATATTACATTAGATGTAAATGGTAAGAAAGCTGTGCAACGAGTTTTCACGTACTTCACAATCTGTTAATACTAATTATACAACTTCTTCATTACTTATGGGTTATACTTGCGTATGAAATATCATACATCATCGCCAAAACACACATTATTACATTGCATAGTACTTTGAAAAAATATAAATTCTTCCCTCAAAAACCTAGTAGCTAGGAAGACGTGGACATATATTCATGCAGAAACGTGAACTAACGTGTATGTCTCCACGCATATTTAGATGTTCGCAAACTTATAGCTCTCGTAACGACTACCACTATGACGTTTGATTTAAAGCGATATAGAGCTGGTATGGTTTTGAGTATCTCAAGTAGATTCTCTTTGGCAAATTGACAAATATCCGTCATTCTGACCACTTTTTGGGTTGTGATTTTTGGTTTGGGGGTGGTAATTTTTCATTTATAAAGGATTTTGCTTCAAGTCATTTTGATGAAATGTTGTAGTTTTAATAAAGAAAGTAAGTGATGCACAAATTAGATATTCATCAGAGTAATTCTCACTTATAGTAGCCTACGAGTATGACTTGGATATACGGTAGCTCTATAACGTTTCACGATTTACTGTAATTTATCGATCCACTATTTTGGATGTCTGTAGCTATGCATGTGTTATGTGAGTTTTGCCGTAAAGGTTTGGATGATTTTAGTTTTAATGCTTAGATAGCAAAGATTGCTAATATCTTTCTCTTCTTCATGTCTTTCTACTGCATAATTAACAATGAAATTAAGTAATAAAGTTATTGAGAAAAATTGGTGTATGTTAATGTTATTTTCCTTAGATAATGCGAAACATGTAATAGATGTAATTGTTTTGTTGAGATACAGATAATGGATGTTACGTTATTTCAGTAAAGTTTTGTTTTTGTTAGACATATTAATACAAAAGAGAATAATATATTTGAAATGTAGAATTCAGTTCCAATAAAAAGATTTCTTATTTTAAAAAATTTTTTTCAGCACCTTTACCTGCACATTCGGGTTTCTTTCTCTGCATATTTCTTACGAGCAGTTGGCTAAAGGATCGAAATGACAAACAGTACAACAGCAACAGCATTGCATCCATTAGTCCAATGGGCTCAGCGTGATAAATTACTTTATTTGACTATTGAAATTGATAATATAGTCGATCTCCAAATTACCGAAAAGTCCCTTCAAGTCAAGTAAGTCTTTGTGTAGTTACCATTAATAATGGATAAGTCTGTGATATTACGGTGGTGTAATGACTGTAGAACGTAGAACTGCATATGTTTTAATGTGTAGGTCATACTCTTCATTATCAAATGAAACTGTTGTCTGGTGTATAGAAAATAATGTTTACCAGAGAAGTATTGTTTTCACTTGATACAGTCATGTCTGATCAACCTGTTAAGTTTATTTCTGTATGCATTATGCTTTACTTTTATTAAAGAGGTACATATGGTGGTAGCAAGGCACTTTATGAAGCTACTTTGGATTTTTATGCTGGAGTAAAAACGGATTACCGTAAGATTGCTAATGACAGACATTTGGAACTGGTTATCAACAAGGAAACAGCATCATGGTGGCCCCGATTGTCTAAGAGTAGTGCCAAGGTTTGCTTGTTTTTGCTAACGTTCCGCCATTTCTATAGAAACGTAAATGATCACTTGAGGAAGGAAATAGAGCAACGGACTGTATTGAAAATGAATAATTTACAGTGCCCATTTATTACTGTTTGTTACAAATATCTCCAGCAAGTATTCCAGAATTTTGCGTAATTCAGACGTTTATTTATTAAAAAATCATTACACTTTACATTTTACAGCTTCCGTGGGTGAAGGTTGATTTTAACAAATGGAAGGATGAAGATGAAGATGAGGATGATATGAATGGTGGTGATCTTGATTTCCAGAATTACATGTCTAAGTTGGATGCAGGTGGCGCTGGTGCTCCAAATCTGGATGATTTTGATGATGATGACGATGAAGATGGAGATGATGGTATACTTTATCCTCTTTTTCCTGCACTGCTTCACAGCATCAGTTGTATTTTATTTCCGAAGAAATGTTTTTAATCAAAGTTTTTAAGAGTTCTGATTTTCTAGTTTTACAGATATGCCAGACTTAGAAGATGTTGATGACGAAGCAAAAGCAGGAGCTGCAACGGACGAAGAAAAGAAAGATAAGGTCGAAGCTGGTGATCAGAAAGAAGGAGTTGTGGAACAGTCATAAATTATTTTTCACCATCCGTTCCCTTTTTATTTCTTTCTCAACGTTCTAAATAATCATGAATGGTAGACCACATTTCTTTCTCATTTTATGCTAATTTTCATTTATCGACATCAAAAGTTCAGTGACAAATTTGTATATGCTTGTTCTCCTTTTCCCTGCAAAAATGAGGTCAGCGTTGATTACTGTTAATGACATCATCAGTTATGTTAATGCTTAAAATGCTTACACAATGTTAAACGCAGTTATACAGAAGCGGAAAAAAGTTTTGGTTAAAAATTTCATTTATAATGGCACTTATCACTGAATAGAAGATGGAGGAGTGAGATCTCAAAATGGTTTTATCTTCTTACAGTTGTTTTGTCATTTCAGTTGGTCATTTAAATCGCTTAAGGTGGTTTCATTTTTCTCATGTTGCCGCTAAACATGCGTACAAACATTTTTCGAAAATTTTGACCCACTTTTTCACTAGCCATTGTTTTGGCGTCTTATTTCAAGCTAACGCTTTTAAATGGATTCATTCTTTATGCCTTTTTAAGCGGTATTGGACTTCATGTTCTTTCGTTATGTTAATGTGAAATATCGGTTTCTTTTAATTACTTATTATTATCATACTAATGAAAGAAATACTTTTTACTCATTTTTGCTCTTTTTTAAGATTTTGTTGAAAATAAAATGTTATTTGTTGCGAAGCATCATCCATTTTATTTGAAAATAAGTGCGTTAAATACATAAAGTATTTGTATTAAAAGAGTTTTCAGATTCAGTTTCTTTTTTTGTTTTATTATTAAAACATTAGAATTGCTGAAGCCGCTTTCGGCACAGCATTTCTGCGTCACTATTTTGTTCCTTTTCTTTAGACAGCAAATTTTCTTTCACCAAATGGTTTAAATACTTTTAGATTATTAAAATAAAAATCATATACGCTGCCAGTGGACATTTAGATCATCCATCTAACGAATGTTGGGAGTTTGCATGTCCTGGTGAACTTGTGGAAGATAATGAAATGCTTATCTATGAAGCTGTTTCCCTTTCAATAAAATTGTTAAGATTAAGTTCATTCCATTTGTTGCTGTTTCCAAAAGAGGAACGTAACGGATACTTTAACTCTACTAATTTGTGTCTAGTACAGCTTATGTTTTATAAAAAAACATTGGTTTAGAGTTGGGTAAGAAAAGAGTAATTTAAGGCATTTCGAATACCATGCTAATAGAGCAATCAGTAACAGCAATATTCTCTTTTTTCTCAGTTTCTTGTTAATACTTGCATATTTTCTGTCCAGTTCAGCCTAGTATGGAAGAAACAGGAAATAATATTGTTAGGAATATTTTTTATGTTTATTTGTTTATGAGAAAAACAAAAATATAGCTTGGAGATATTGGAACAGTTTTCGTTACTGGCAGTAATGAAAGGGAGAAAGCT